TGTGTGTGTGTGTGTGTGTGTGTGTGTGTGTGTGTGTGTGTACAAACTCATATTAATGGTGCATCATCCATATGGATAGATTCTCTTCTCAATTCTAATCTCCCAGCTATGATACTCTCTCCCTTGTGGGATAGATGTGCAATTTTCCCTCGTGCTGAAAAGCCAAATCCGAGATGAGATGGAACACCATGCCGCTGAGCACATTAGGGTGCCCTTTGTCCCACTCGTTGGGGATGGAGTTCCCAATCTTCGTCGCGTGCACAATGACATCGTGAAGCAGGCGTTGTGTGTGACCAACTCCAACGACAAAGTGCAAGACTTTCACCCCGTCTGCATCGACTTCGTAGTGTTGGATGGTCGATCGGGTCACCTCCACTGCGAAGTCCATAGGCCGTCCAAGAGCGTCATGTCTATGACGCATGTGCCAAAAAACAACGCTTCGTTCTGCAATTGTCACCCTGAACACCGACTTCACATCTCTCTCTCTCTCTCTCACTCTTTTTCTGAGAGAGAGAGAGAGAGAGATCAATCTGTCGATCTTTTTTTTCGATCTCTCGTTCTCTCCGTTGATCTTTCACTGCCAGGGTCGAGCCGTGCATGAGTGACGATTAGCGAAGCAGCCAGCAGCAATTGATCTGCAGACATGACGTTGTCCTCCATGCACGACCAAAGAACAAGGTGGCAAAACAATTAAATGATTGAGCAGTGCACTGCCACCCTACTTAGTAAAAAAATCCGGAACACGAATGCCCTTGCCATTTGATGAATGCAGATGGCAAGTGAAATTTCAGTATTTGGCTTTTTTTTAAACCGTACACAACCAAAAAATAATAATAATAATAATGATAAAAGATAGAGACCGTCATTCTGATGTTCAGGACGACCTGGGACTCCGGAACACTGTTGGCTAAAAAACACAAGCAGAGCCACCAAATTCAGTACACAAAAAAAATGTATCACCGGTTAACCTTCATGCGAAAAACACAGGGAAGCCTTGTGAAGATCAGCAGGGCAAAAACACTTTAAACCCCGTTTCACCGGTGAGCCTTCGCCAAACCCTACCCATCTATCACAACCGCAAACGAGAGTGTGTTGCATTACGGTGAGCGATCGAACTCCTCAGTTGAATCTCTCCCACCTCGTTGTCGCTGAGCCTTACCAGCCAAAACCCCGACAAGTTGAGCAAGCACATCATTCCCTCCCACCACGGCATCGGTGACAACCCCTATCTTCCCCGTCAATTCCCCAATACGGCCACCCTCTATCTCTGCTTTTTTTGTGCTCGCCTTCGCAAGTGTCGCAGCGGCCTGCTCCAACCCTTGACAATATGTATGTGTGGACTCTTGCATTGCACTCGACATTGCCCTACTAGATTCTTTGTCGTCACCTTCTCTCGCCCTGCCGGATTCTATCTTTCGTGTTTTCGTGCCGACATCTAATCCATCGGACAGATCCCAAGCGGTCTCACCACGACTGCTCTCCCCCCGTCTACCACCACGGCCCACACTTCCTTCACCATACTTGCTCCCCCCAGCCCATATATCCTCATTCGTGGACTCCATCTTATCGAAAGCTAAGGTGTTGTCTCAAGTCATTGACAGTTTCTTCATATTTCACTCCATCGCATCCCAAAGTGCCTTGTCGAATGCAGGATGAACACCGGTTTCCCTTCGCTTCTTCGTTGTCAAGTCCTAGTAGCTCATGCCGGCTGATCTGTCGCACTTGTCATTGATCTCCTTCACCTTCTCCAACAATGACGCCCACTTCCTTTTGTAGTCCTCATTGTTGCATCGATATCCCTCGTCCTTTATGCGCTTTAAGATCCAGTCCACCCGGTCCTGCCTCGTCATGCACTTGTGAGGGTTGGAAGCACTGACACAAAGCGCATCATTCTCACCAAACAGTCTCGCCAAAGTGATTTGCTCGTTCGGGCCCCATGGCTGGGACACCTTTGAAGCCTTCCCTCCGCCTGCATCATGTCCACCACCCTCTATCACCATAGATGGTGTGTCCTCCGATGCCTCAGCAGGCGTGCAGTCAACCATTGGAGTTCCCAACAAACGACACTTTATTCTGCTACGGTGACACATCGTGACCGCTGTTTGACTGCCTTGGCATGGCAATGGGAGATGTGGCAGGAAGACCAGGTTAACTCTCAAACTCAACTCTTGCAGACACGCTTGGCGACGGTGTTGGAGCTCAAAACTGCGAAGTCGGGGGAGGTTGGTACAGCGGCACGCTGCCATGATGAGTAGTTGGCTTCCCCACTAAGGTGTTGTAGTCGGTGTTGGCGAAGGATGGCATCGTTGTAATTGGTTATGCGGCAATGAAGCTTTGCACGTAGCCCTGTGAGATCGGGCTGTTCCGCTAGGTGGGGGTGGGAGGGAGAGGGTTTGTGAACAAAGAGCCCTAAGTGGCAGAGTTGTACTCCCAGGGAAACGAGGTCATGGGTATCGATCTGCGGTCATCCGTAGACCCGACATTCTCATCTTGCATGGAAGAGTCAACCATGGAAGACGACTATTGTTGTGGTTGTGCCAACCACCGGTGGGGCTCCATGGCTGCCCGTGTTCACCTAGACAGATTGGAGATGAAAACCACGACACCGACAAAAAAAAGCAAAACGATGACAAGGAAGAGCAAAACAACTACGAAGAAGGTAAAAACGCTATTGTTGTAAACACTACAATTATCAAACAAAGCTCCACCTTTGCTGGTGCTTCTATGGCGGTTACGAGGCACGTCGCCGACCCATCACACAAATCGGTGAGTTGATCGTGCCATGCACATCACACAAATTGGTGAGTTGATCGTGCCATGCACATGCTCTGGATGGTGGATGAAGACGTCGTCAGGTGTGCGTGGTTAATCGTGATGCACCGACTTTTAACAATACGAAGGAAACAGTAGGTGGGATGGCAAGTTCGGGTCAAGAACGGGAGTGTCAACAAAAACCTCCCTTCCTCGATTCCGAGAGAGGGACAATCGTGAGAGCAAAGGGGCATGTGAGCAGCAGATTGTAGATGGGATGATTGGAGATAATCGTCTCCACAACAGGGTTGATGGCGTTAACACACGAGACAACACTTCCCGTTGTGGAAGACAGACAAAAAGTACAGAAGAGGATGGAGGACGGTGAATCGTACTGGCATGGCGAAACATGAATACCCAACCAAACGTCTGGCGTGCTGCTTTCACACCATCCCGACAACACTACATCATAGCTTACGATGTACCTTGCATCGATGACATGCCAGTGGATCGGAACACGTCCGTCGAACTTCCCGGCATACTCCATGGGACTATCGTCGATGACATGGGTCGGATAACCGTTTGTCCTTTTTGAAATGGACGTTCACCCTGCGGCGCCTTCCATTGGCCGTTCAAGGGAAATGTTAGTGTCGCC